CACAGGCACCCGCCACAACGCCTGGCTATTTTTTTTCAGTTGCAGTCATGATTGTTGTTTGGCGGGCCTGGGCTGGATTCGAACCCGCCACCTTAGGTGTATGTGGCTGGTGCCTTAGCCACTTGAGCCACAGACGCCGAGCCGGTTATTTCTTTTCTTCTGTTGAGTTTGGATTGGATTTTTCTTCCTTTTCCAGTTGTTTGAGATGACCCATTAAGTTGTTGACTTTTTCTCTTTCTATTTTCTTGATGAAGAAAGGTTTCTAATGCTATAAATTTCTCTTAGGACTGCCTTTGCAATATCGCATAGGCTTTGATAATTTGTGTCTTCATTATCATTTCGTTCCAAAAATTTGATGATTTCCTTCTTATTCTCATCTTTGACTCAGCTATCATTCAGTCTAAGGTTATTTAGTCTCCATGACTTTGAGTATGAAGATTTCTGTTGCTGTTGAGTTTAACTTCTCTTCTGTGATTGTCTGAGAAGATAAAAGGAATAATTTCTACTTCTTTAAATTTTTTGAGGTTAGACTTGTGTCCTAAGATATGATTAATTTTAGAAGATGATCCATGGGCTGATAAGAAGAATGTGTATTCAGTTTTATTAGGATGAAATGTTCTGTAGATGTCTGTTAAGTCTATTTGTTCTAGGGTCAAGTTTAAGTCCATTCGTTCTTTATTTAGTTTCTTCTTGGAGGATCTATCCAGAACTGACTAAGGGGTGTTAAAATCTTCAACTATAATAGCACAGAAAGATATCAAATTGTTCATATCCATTAGGGTTTGCTTTATAAATTGAGGAGCATTTAGGTAGGGTGCATGAATGTTAATTATTAAAATCTCGTCATGTTGAATATTTCCCTTGACAAATATGTAATATTCATCCTTGTTTTTCCTTGTCTTTGTTGGTTTAAACCCTATTGTATCTGCAAATAAAATTGCAACCCCTGCTTTTTTCTGATTTCCATTTGCCTATATAATAGATGTCCATCCCTTTACCCTGAGTCTTTTATCCTTTGAGGTAAGATGAGTCTCTTGTTGGTAACAGAGATGGCCTGAGTTTTTGTATCCAGTTAACCAACCTGTGCCTCTTTAGAGGGCAATTTGAGCCATTCACATTAATTGAGAGAATTGATAGGTATAGTAGTGTTTTGGCTGCCATGTTTTTCAAAGGTCTAGAGCAGTGGTTCTCAACCTGTGGGTCACGACCCCTTTGGGGGTTGAATGACTCTTTCATAGGGGTCACCTAATATCAGATATTTACATTAAAATTCATAAGGATAATTATAGCTATGAAGTAGCAATGAAAATAATTTTATGATTGGGGGTCACCACAACATGAGGAACTGTATTAAAGGGTCACAGCATTAGGAAGGTTGAGACCACTGGTCTAGAGCAGGTGTCCTCAAACTATGGCCTGTGGGCCACATGTGGCCCACCTAGGACATTTATCCGGCCCACTGGGTGTTTTTGCCATCACTGCCTGTCCTGCTTAGCAGCTGGCTTGTCCCGGGGCCCACAGTCTGGCCCTCCAATGATCTGAGGGACAGTAAATTAGGCCCCTTGTTTAAAAAGTTTGAGGACCCCTGGTCTAGAGCATATTTTTAATTCTTTCACCATTGTGGAAGTTAGGTTTGATAAATTCTGGGTGAGTTTACTTTGGTGGTAGACTATTATGCTGGTCATTATGGAAAATGGGTGTGAGTATTCGTGGGGAGCTGGTTTAGTTGTGGCAGATTTTTTCAACATGTGTATGTTGATAAAGTATTTGATTTTTCCATCACAAATGAAATTCATTTTAGCTGGATACAGGATCCTGGGCTGAAAGTTGTTTTGTTTTAGAAGATTGAAGTTTGATGACCATCCTCTTCTGGCTTGATAAGATTTGGGTGAAATATCTGTGGTCATTCTAGTATTTCTCCTTTTGTAGGTAATGCTTTTCTTTCATCTGGCTGCTTGCAGGATTTTTTCCTTCATATTAACTTTGGCAAAGTCAATTACAATGTGTCTAGGAGATGTTTTATTTGGATTGAGTCTTGCTGGGGTTCTGAAACTATCTCCTATCTGAATTTCTGTATCTCTTGCAATGCTTGGGAAATTCTCCTCCATAATATCTTGGAGGAGAGCATCTTTGCCTTTGTGACCATCTTTTTCTCCTTCAGGAATTCCTATAAGTTGGATGTTTGATCATTTGGAATGATCCCACAACTCTCTCAGGGAATGTTTTGTTTTAGTTTTCCATTTTTGCCTCTGAATGCTTGGGATCATTCTAAAGTCTTGTCTTCAATTTATGATATCCTTTCTTCTTCCAGCTCAACTCTATTACTGAGGGATTCTATTGTATTTCAAAGCCCCTTCAATAACTTTTCACTTCCTTGAGCTCTGTTATATCTTTTCTCATTATGTCCATATCATTGTTGACTTTGTCTTTAAATTCATTAATTCATAATTCATTAATTTTTTTTTCCTGATTGCAATGACTTCATTTTAGTGGCTTTCCAAGCCTGCCAAATGGTCTCCTTAGACAGGGCTGTCATCCAGTCAACGATCTTTACAGTGGAGTCCTAATTACTTGATTCTGCTTTGTAGATCATAAAGGTTCCTTCCAATGATCTCTTCTTCCATTTCCTCAAATCAGCTTACACATTCTGAATTATCTATCATTCACATATCTATCATTCTCTAATACTTTGAGGTGGCATATTCTGGTCTCCTACTTTATGTTTGAAGTAGATCACTTCTTCCTCTTTGCTATCATTAATCTTTTCATTATCTTCTTATTTCTCTTAGCACAGTCAGGACATGACATATTATCTTCTAGGCCTGGAGATGGGAAAAGGTAGGCTGGTAACAGGAAGAGGGAAATCATCCTCCTGGGAGTGGAAGGCACCCAGGCCTGACCTGCATGAAACTGTAGGTAGACCCAACCCTCTGTGTCTGCGGGGAGAGGCTTGCCATGGATCACACACCACCTAAGGCCAGAAGCTGTTGTCAAAAAGGCTTCAGTAGAAGCAGGAATGGACCATGAATTCACAGTCTTAGGCTGACCAGATTTTGCAGCAATCCTTGCCCATGATGCCAATGCAGATTCCTGAGCTCATGTTATTACTTCCACTCTATTGAGCTCTTCTGTTTTCACACTCATCTTGGACCTTTCTGAGGTCTTGCTCACTTGGTCTCTGCCTTAAGTTTCCTTGAACATGAATGTAATCTGGCCTCCTTTGGTGTTTCAGGAATTTCACATTTCTGTTCAGAAAAGGCATGCTCCTGATGCCTCAGAAAAACTTCTGTTTTCTTACCGTCAGTACTCAACTTGAGTGGCTGGCACCACTTCCTCAAAGTGTCTCAACACACATCATTAATAGGAGGCAAAATGGTTGGCAAGAGACGATCAGTTTTTTCACATCTAGCTTTTCAAATGGCTTTTGATTGTTTATTTGTTGGAGGTAGATGAACTTTATTGTGTTTCTGGGGATTGTTCAGTTTGACATCAGAAGTTGAAGGAACAGTTGGTTCCATTTGTTCATTATTTGAATCATCTCTAACTGGAACCAATGTCAAAATCACATTTTCTTCATTGTCTATTTCCTCCTCAGAGAAATTCTTCTGGCTGCTACCATGATTTGAGTCTGACATTTTTTCAGCAGGACCTGGGAGAGATAAAGCCAGCAATGGTAAAGATAGGTGCAGTTTACTGCTTTTGATCTCCATTAATTTCTTGAGACAACTTGTGAACTACTGTTTGGATTTCTATTTCCATCTTTCCCCCCATTCTATTCATCTTATTTGCTATCCATATTCTGAATTCTATTTTTGGCAATTCAGCCATTTGTCTATGAATGGCATCTTCTGTTGTATCTCCTTTGTCATTCCTTGGGAAAGTTGATCTACTCTGATTATTCATGTTCCAGTTCTGCTGGTTCTGCCCCATGAATATTTTCTGCAATTTGGCAATTAAAACTGGTAAGGTGAGATTGGATTGGGGGCCCCAGGAAGTGGAGTTAATCAGCCCTTTACCAATGAGTGAGGGCTTGTGAATATAGCTTTTCCCTACAGCCTTACAAAATCCCTTTCAGAGCTACAGCCTGAGACTTTGAGGACCTGTGTGGTGAGGTAGCACAAGCTGGCTCTGTCTTAAAGTCAGCCAGTTTCTATCCAATCCTAATGAGTCATGGTATTAGGCTGAAATCTCAGCTAGGGAGGGATAAAAGCAATGGTAGCACCCCACTCCCCACCAGCAACAGCTGGAGGAGGAGAATCAGTCCTTTCCCAATACAAAACTACCACCACTCAACCTCGGAGGGTCCTGGGTGTACCGCCCAAGTTGAGAATTCTAATCAGATTGTCCCTGGCAGTACAATCCAATCAATGCTTAAACAGGGAGAGTTCAAAGAGTCTCCAGCATCCCAATAGTAGAAATCTACAGGCATTTCTACTATCCAGTGACTCACACAATGTCCAGGCCTCTCAGGGAATTGCCAAGCATTCTAGGCTCTGCAGGGGGCAGACCTTTAGACTGCCAAGTGATGGGGGAGGGTGGACTGGGAGTTCAGAATTGTAGGGAAAATATTTGTTCAATTTTATGCCAGGCAGGATGATGCTGAGGCTCACAAGTTAGGACCTCCCTAGAGAAGGAGGCCTTTTGTTTAGCAGCTCTCTCCATGGGATAAAATAAGAGGTCTTCTGTTCCCTGCAGGCTTGCAGAGAGCCCACCGTGAGCCTCCTGCTTGGGAGAGGGGTCCTTCATCCTCTTGACGATGGGCTTTGTACCTGGAATTGTTTTCTTGGATCCTCTTTCTTGGAGTCCCAGCTTGCCTGGGTAGAAATGATGTATACTTGTCTATTTTCATTTTTAGCTCAGCTCCCCATCTTTGGCTTCACTGTTTCTACTTCTGTCCAGTATCTCTCCCTCTGGGCAAGAGTCTCTGGTGAAAGCAAACTCTAGTCAGCCATCTTCCTTCCTCCCCTCCCCCACCACATTTTAAATGTTTATATTTGTTTTCAAGTTCATTAACTTTTGCTTATCTTTCTTCTGCTATTCTTAGATTTGCTTTACTGTTCCTGATTTCTAATATCCTTTGCTAACTGCTTAGTTGCTTTATTTTCACTGTTTCTTGATTAATACTCATTTTTAAGGCTGTGAATTTGGCTCTGTTGATAGATTTGGCTGCACTGCATAAATTTCATTATGTAATATGTACACGGTCCCTATTTTCTAATTATATTGTAATTATAATTTGGATTTTCCATCATTACTTACTTAAGACAAAATTTTAAGATTTCAGAATGGTTGTTTTCTATATTTACATAAATATTTCATTAAGTTTCAGTTTCATTGTGCTGTAGTAAAAAATTTGAGTTGTATAATAGGTAAATTTGGATATTCATGTGAATGTTCATGATTAAGCTTTTTTGCATGAATTTTTTATTTAAAAATTCAAGGAAATTCTACAAACAGAAATAAATCAAATAGCACAGAGGAATTTATTTGAAAAGCAAGAATCACTGCTCAACCTAACTTTATTCATACTCTACCTATTACCTTTTAGTTTTTAGATTTTTTGGACATTGTATCCACCCTTCCTTATGGTGTGCTTATGCTATGATTGCATGATTTATCAATTGTAGGTAATTTTAATTGGCTCTTCATTATGGAAGGTGAGAATTAATACCTTTACCCTATGTATTTTTCCCTTTCCTAATTTATAGTAGTAAAATGAGTCTTTTAAATGCCTTTATTAATTACCTTTAAAACTTTAAAACATTGAATCTCTATTTCTCATATATTTATAAGTTTTGTTTTTAATATTTTGATGTCATATTATTTACCACTTACTTAATCATGATTGTTCTTCAGCATTCATTGTAACCATTATCAGTATTAAATGGCATTTCTGTTCCATTGCATATTTTTAACTTCAAATTCTCATTTTTGATATTAATATAGTCATTCCTGCTCTTTTGTTTTGTTTTTCCCTCTCTTTTTGCCCAAAATTTTTGGTTAATTGCTCATTAACATTTTCATGAATGTTTTTAAGAACATAAATTTTGTTTCCTACCTAGTGTTAAGAATTTTTAAAATATGGATGTCTCTCTGTATAGACGTATATAGATATATTTTGCTAATAATTATCTTTATGTTTTTCTTTATATATTTTCCTGAATTCCAGTTATTTGCTATATGGGCTTTGATTTCTTTATGTTCTTAATAATCGTATTTCTATCTATATTTGTTCTATAAATCAGTGATATGGTAATATAGTATCTTCTAAATACATGTATTTCATATATAAGATAATAAAATGGGTATGTTTTTGCTACTCTTATTTTTCCCATATCTACTTCTTGGCTTTAATAACACAATTTATGATTTACAACTATATTATTATACTATATTTTTACTTTTGTATTTATTTTTCTTTCAATTTTTTTTTATTTTCTAGCCACATTTACAATACTTACTTATCCTGAGTTCTCTATTTACTGATTTAACGTAAAGCCTGTTTTTACTTTTTAATACTATAAAAGTCTCATTATTGATTTACTTTGACTTAACTCTTCATCACTTAGAAACTATCTTCAGGTAGTTTTTCTGAAGAAGTCCTCCTGGGTCACAATCTTTATAAGTCCTTTTCTTGTCAGACAATATCTTCTTGATTTCCATGATTAGATCATTGTTTTAGTAACTGTGACATTATTCATCATTATTTATTTACATACATAAATATGTATAATTATTGTATTTACATATTATTGTGGGAATTGGCTCACATGTTTGTGAATGCTGAAATGTCCATCATCTGGTATCCACAAGCTGGAGAACCAGAAAAGTCAATAGTGTAATTTAGTCTGAATTCAAAGGTCCAAGATCCTGGAGCTCCAATGTCCAAGAGTATTGGAAGATAGATGTCCCAGCTCAAAAAGAGAGAGAGAAAATTCCCCCTTTTTTCACTTTTTTGTACCTGAGACCTCAATAGATTAAACAATGTCTGCCTGAATCAGTGAGGGTGGATCTTCTTTGCTCAGTCTATTGATTCATATGCAAATCTCTCCTGGAAATTCCCTCACAGCCACATCCAGCCATCTGGGTATCCTTTAGCCAAGTCAAGTTGACAAAATTAACCACCATAGTTGCCATGTTTTTCCTTTAAAAAAAAAA